ATATATTTTTCTTATGCCTTCGATATATCGTAATTAGAATAAAAAAAATCTATGTAAAAAGTACAAATCTTTTTTTTTAACCTTTATATAGCGTTTTATACAATACAGATCGTTTCAAAGCAGCTTTATGGTGATAAACGAAAATAATGATTCAATGATGCAAACAAAATGCAATTCTCCTGTAAAGCAGCTCTAAAAAGACAACAGTAAACAGTCATTGTTCAGTTAAGATCAGTTCACTTGATTCAATTCAGTTCAATAACTGTGTAAAGTCCATCAACATTTGAAATCTTTACAAATATCATGAATTATTCATTCGTACATATGATTACATTTTAGAAGAGTCACACCCCGTTTTACATCTGATCTAAGGTAAAATTGTCTGATATTTTAAGAAACATATTGACCTTGACAAAGTCACGAGGGACTGTAGGAGTTCCTGTTTATTTTATTTTTTGTGTGCGTATTTCTGCACGTTAGTTGCACCGCAAGGATTTTTTGGTTGCACCACATGACTTAGATTTAGTGGACAAAAAAGTTTTTCAATTTCGATCTACGGCTAAGGATTTCTGTGCAATAATTTCATTCTATTAATCATGCTTTTTCTTCATTAAATCGGGACAGTTGTATCGCCCTGACATTTTTGACTTTGTGTCCTCAAAATTAATTTTAATTCACAAATGAAAAACATGCTCATCATAAAAGAGAGTACAGTAGGCCATTGTATGTGTTTTTAATAAACTAATAGGATAAAAAGTGCATTTAAATATGACCAACTCACTCCCTCTCTTCCTCTTTCAGTCTTTCTCTGTCCAGGTGTATTGAGAGGTGTGTATCAGAGTGAGCACCTCTTTGAGTCGGACCACCAGTCTGGTTCATGGTGTAAAGACCCGCTACAGTCATCCAACAAGATCTACTATATGCCCTGGACACCTTACCGCACAGATACACTGACCGAGTATTCATCCAAGGAGGACTTTATTGCGGGTCGTCCTACCACGACATACAAACTGCCCCATCGTGTGGACGGCACTGGCTTTGTGGTGTATGACGGCGCGCTTTTCTTCAACAAGGAACGTACACGCAACATTGTTAAATTCGACTTGAGAACTCGTATCAAGAGCGGCGAGGCAATTATCGCTAACGCTAATTACCACGACACCTCGCCGTATCGCTGGGGTGGGAAATCTGACATCGATCTGGCAGTGGATGAAAACGGACTGTGGGTAATTTACGCCACCGAACAGAACAACGGACGAATTGTGGTCAGTCAGCTGAACCCTTACACGCTCCGAGTGGAGGGCTCATGGGATACAACATACGATAAGCGATCGGCCTCCAATGCCTTTATGATCTGCGGAATCCTGTACGTAGTGAAGAGCGTTTATGAAGATGACGATAATGAAGCGTTGGGGAATAAAATTGACTACATGTACAACACCGAGAAGAGCCGTGAAACGCAACTCAGCATTCCATTCCCAAATTCATACCAGTACATCGCAGCTGTGGACTACAACCCTCGAGACAATTTGCTGTACGTGTGGAACAACTACCATGTTGTCATATATTCTCTCGACTTCGGAAACAATGACAACAGATTGGGCTTTGGTGAGTTTCCCTTTAATTTCAACTAATTTGTGCCACACATTTTCTCTAATGTGACCATTTTGAATCCACTGGTAACTGAGTCACAACGTTGCATTTAATTAGAATTAACTCTTTCCCCGCCGGCATTTTTTAAAGAAAGTTGCCAGCCACTGCCAACATTTTTGTTCATTTTTACAGAATGTTCATGGCCCCCAGAATATGT